CCTGACTAAAAGCCATTGATGGACCTATCCTCCATGCATTTATCTAGTCCTTTTTTGAACCCTGTTATAGTCTTGGCCTTCACAACATCTTCTGGCAAAGAGTTCCACAGGTTGACCGTGCGTTGTGCAAAGAAATACTTCCTTTTGTTTGTTTTAAACCTGCTGCCTATTAATTTCATTTGGTGACCCCTAGTTCTTGTGCTACGAGAAGGAGTAAATAACACTTCCTTATTTACTTTCTCCATACCAGTCAGGATTTTATAGACCTCTATCATATCCCTCCTTAGTCACCTCTTTTCCAAGCTGAGAATTCCCAATCTTATTAATCTCTCCTCATACGGAAGCCTAATCATTTTGTTGCCCTTTTCTGAACCTTTTCCAATTCCAATATATCTTTTTTGAGATGGGGTGACCACATCTGCACGCAGTATTCAAGATGTGAGCATACCATGGATTTATATAGAGGCAATATGATATTTTCTGTCTTATTATCTATACCTTTCTTAATGATTCCCAAATTTCAGTTAGCTTTTTTGACTGGCACTGCACATTGAGTGGATGTTTTCAGAGAACTATCCAATGACTCCAAGATCTCTTTCTTGACTCCAAGACCTTTTTCTTGAGTGGTAACAGCTAAATTAGACCCCATCATTTTATATGTATAGTGAGGATTATGTTTTCCGATGTGCATTACTTTACATTTATCAACACTGAATTTCATCTGCCATTTTGTTGCCCATTCACCCAGTTTTGTGAGCTACCTTTGTAGCTCTTCGCAGTCTGCTTTGGACTTAAAATTTTGGCACCTCACTGTTTATCCCTTTTTCCAGTTAATTTATGAATATGTTGAATAGGACTGGTCCTAGTACAGACGCCTGGAGGACACCACTATTTACCACTCTCCATTCTGAAAACTTACCATTTATTCCTACCCTTTGTTTCCTATATTTAACCAGTTACCAATTCATGAGAGGACCTTCCCTCTTATCCCATGACAGCTTACTTTGCTTAAG